ACCACCACATCTGGCTTTTAAAAATGTTTTTAGCATTTTAAAAACTCACTAGTATTTAATATGACAAAAGCTAAGAAACTTACCTACTCTAAAGATTACTTCAAGATATGTAGCTAGGAATAAGTTCATTTTTATCTACTCCCCTAAAAAAAGCTTCAAAATTAAAGTTTATCTTTTCTATAAGGATTATGTAAATCCATAAACTAGGAAGTTTCAATATTCAATATAGAACATAACTTCATTGAGTTTCTGGTAGATAATTACTTTTCCTTCTTTAGTCAGCTGTACAGTGAGAAAGTCATACACTGAGTATAACAGAATGAGTGCCTCATGGCCATGATCAACAAATAAATTTTCTGTCTCTCTTCAGAAAGGTCAATATGTAGTTGTCTCATCTCATTCTTCGTTCTGACAGTGATTGTCTAACATCTGTAATATGACCCTTCTATGCTTTTACTTGATGGGGATCAGATTCAGAGCCCTGTAAGTGAAAGAAATTTAATAAGTTACCATCAGAGTCATGCTGAAGATAACAAAAATATGAGTCATTAGTTATCAGGGTCATTTTCACCAAGGCATATACTAATTGAAAATGGGCAGTTGTCAGATGGGCTTCTGATAAGTTATTAAGTTAGCATGCTATGCAGTGAGCCAAATTCTCACAAAGAATGGCCAGAATCATCTTGTCAGGGTATTTAGATACAAATCCAAGAGCTTCTATTTAATGGTATTAATGCTTAATAACATAGCATTTTATTCCAGTGTTGTTAATCACAAGCTCCACTTAATCCAAATAACTCATATTCTATTTCACACATATTCCACACATAGCTCTTAAAGTTAAACAAAATTTTAGCTATGTAAAAGGAAAAAATTTAAATCAGGTTTCCTATTATGAATTTAAAATATTTTTTGCTTTATACAATATTTTCTCCTTGAAATCTTTTTTGTCGTCAAGAAAATCATTTCTATTTTATAGTTAGCAGAGGAGAAAAGTTAGTATTTTCAGAAAATCATTTAGTAGAATGGCACCAAGCTTTACCAGTGTAACAAATTAGATCATAATTACTACCATTTGCCCACTTAAACAACCCACCACGTTAGATGCCTCATAGCACTGTGTATCCCTCATCCTTTGAGCTTATCACAGTTATAATTTTATCTGAGTCAGATAAAAGTATACTCTTTAGGAGAACAGATTGTGACTAATTTTCCTCACCCTTGTATTCCAGTGCCTAACAAAAGGCTTTGTTCTTGATAATAAAATAAACATGTGATGTGTAAACAAATGAAGAATATAAAATTTTCTTTTTATATACAGCTTTTTGTAGCAAAATAAGATGTCTACTATAATACCAGTGGAAGCCTGAAGTAAATCACCTATTCATTAAAATTACACACTGTTTTAGTTTTTCTCAACTAACACATTCTTGTCCATAGTTGGATACTCCCTCTTTCTTTATAGCATCCTCCTGCCAATCCATTTTAGTTGTGAATCTTCAGTCAAAATGGAAAGAATTAGAAATGTAAGTAGAAAACCTAAGCTCCACCCTGGAGGATTAACGGGAGAAGAGAGAGGCAGAGAGGTCCAGTTCTTCTCTGTAGGCGTTAGCTACAAAACCTGCACTGCAGTTCAGAGCTTCCACCCAGCAATGTGGCACACACATGCAAAGGATAGGAAAGACAGTAAGTGTGCTGCCACTGAGGCGCTCTGGGGTGACCCAGTGTTCCCGATGGAACCAAGGGCCGTGAATCCAAACATTCCTGGCCCGTATCGCTATTAGTCAGAGAGGTAGGTGGGAGCTGCAGCAGAGTGTTACAGAAGAGAAATTTTGCAGGCATTGGCTGTAAGGAGAAACAGTGATTTTATACCAGGTACAGAGGTTCTACAATTAGCAGTGCAACAGACAGCTTGATGTATGCAAGTCTGGCACCTCTGCTGCCAGGAAGGTATAATTCTTTGTGAGTCCCATGCCCTCAGCTGAGATGTTATCTCATAGGTTCTTGCTTAGTGCTCTATTCCAGCGGGAGGCAATTCTGACCTTCTTTGCTATGCTGAGACTCATTCGTTCCTCAGCCAGATTCCATCATATTCTCTTGGCCAATTAAGGGAACATCTGTGTCTATAGAACCACCACTGCATATCTCAGTAAATAAGGTTAAAGTGAAAAAATGTCAGGAAAAGATTGAAACAAGGTAACTCATTTCTCAGGAGAGCACAGCTTGTAAGTTTCCCATGTGAAGGCAATTCTGGGTAACAAAGGCAAGGCAGGGGGCATCAGAGTTTCTGACATAATTATACTATAAAGCTACTGTGATAAAAACAGCATGGCACTGGCAAAATGTCCCAAAGATCAGTGGAATAAATTAGAGGATGCAGAGGCAACTCCAAAATATTAAAGCCACATTATCTTTGACAAAGTGCCAAATACATTCACTAGAAGAAGATAGCCTCTTTAATAAGTGGTGCTGGGAAAACTGGCTTTGTACATTTTGAAGATTAAAATTGGACTGTATCTTTTACCATGCACTAAACTAAATTTGAAATGGATGAAAGGTCTAAATATTAAAACAGAAACATTAAATCTTCTAGAGTATAAAATAGATAAAACTCTTGAAGATATAGATGTAGGCAAAGACTTTATGAATAAAGCCCCAGTTGCACAGGAACTATCACAAAGAATCAACAACAGGGATCTCATCCTATTATAAAGCTTTTGTACAGCAAGAGAATCACCAACAGTGTGAAGAGACAACTTGCAATGGGGAAAAAATATTTTTCAGCTGTTCCTCAGACAAAGGATTACTACTGAGAACATATAAAGAACTAAAAAATGAGACCTACCAGATTTAAAGGCCCACTTCAAAAATGGGTATCTGAGATGAATACACACTTCTTAGATGAAGAAATACAAACAGCAAATAAATATATGAAAAAAATTTTCAACATTATTGGTCAGTCAAGAATACAAATTAAAACAACATTGAGATTCCATCTCACTCTGGAAAGAGTGCTTATCATCAAGAAACCACCCAATAACAAGTACTGGAGGGATTGTGGTGAAAAAGGAACACTTCTCCACTTTTGGTGGGAATATAGACTGAAGCAACCACTGTGTCAATCAGTGAGGAGATTTCCCAGGATACTAGGATTAGAGGTCCCATTTGCTCCTGCTTTGCCCTTCTGGATATCTTCCCAGAGGAATTCAGTACATCACACCACAGCAATGTATGTGCTCTCATATTTATAGCAGCACAATTGTGATAGCTAGGTCTTGGAAACCACCCAAATGCCCGTCAATCGTGGAATGGATAAAAAAGATGTGGTCTTTTTATACAAGTGAGAACTACTCATCCATGAAGAAAGATAAATGGGAGACTTATACAAATAAAAGCAGACAACTTGAAACCATACTCCTAAATAAAATAAACCAGATGCACGTGTGTAAACATCATATTGTCTCCATAATGAAGGAAGTTGAAGGAGTAAATAGAAAATGTACAAAGATGTTGTAAAATGGGAAGAAGCTTCAAAGGGAAAGAGAAACTGGTGTAGGAGAATAGAGAAAAGATGGAAGGGAAAATCAAATAAGATAGTTATACTACTAATTTCTCTTAGTTCATTGAAAAGAAAGGTTTGTGCTAATATTATTTGAACAATTAAATGACTATACCTTGTATTCTGAATAATTAATGATAATAATTTACAATGTATTAACTATTGTTACCCTCTTATCCTGTTTTGAATTTTTTAAACTTTTTCTCTTTAAATAAAGAGTCAATTATCTCCCACTTCACCCCACAGCAATAGGAAAGTTTGCCAATCTAACACATAACCTCACAGACAGAGGGAGGGCAAAACTAACCCTCCCAGTTTTCTTTCAGTTAAGCAGTGATACCCCACACAACAGAGAGGGTGTTGGGAAGAAGGCTATGCTGCAAGCCAATAACCTTAGTGAGCGCAGCCTGTGAGAGGAGACTGCAGCCTCTTTCAGAAGGTGTGCAATATACTTCTTAGCATCTGGACGAGGTGTACATCAGAGCCTCAGACTGTCCACAGTGCTGGGAATGGTGCAGGTAAGGCTGCTTTAGAAGGGCACTCAAGGCTGTAACCAAACCAGAAAACCTGAGATAGGTGGAACACAAACAGCTCTCCATGCTCCAGACATGAGCCACCTGCACCTTCAGGACAGAAAGGGATCGGCACTCAGGGTCATCAATGAAGATACCAGAGGACACTCCAGAGGACGCTATTGATTCAAGGATTTGTTTCTTCCCCTACAACACTTTCTTCTACACCCAATGTCACTTTAGAGAAGATGAGAGGAAAAAGGCAGAGTATTCAGGAAGTCTGAACACTTATCTAAGGAGAATATGCCTCATGTAAGGCATTTAAAGGAGAATGGGAACTGATGAGCCATTAATAGGAATATCCATACAAAAACAGCTTTAGTAAATACAGCAGTTCTGTACATTTAAATCATGCTGCATAGTCAGTCAATCAATAATATTCACTGAATACTTCTTTCTGTGTGTCAGACACTGGGTAGTTGCTGCAGATTCAATAAATGTTAATTTGTTAGTAAATGTAGAGATAGTCAGACTCTGTGGGCTTAGTATCCGGAAGTTGTTAGAACAATACACTGTGAATAATTGATGTCCCAATTGCACTGAAGGGTATCTATGTGTTCAAAGTAAAATATCAGGCTGTGTAGAGAACGGACAGGGTATATTCATTCAACCTCTGCTCAGAAGTTTACTCACTTAATTGCTGAAATTCTGATTAGCTCTCAATCTCAGAACACCTTTCTCCCACCCCTCAGATCCCAGGTTCACTTTTCATCTCTAAAGGTTTTCCAAAAGCAAAATTAACAATCCCCATCCCGTCACTTAAATCAGAACAGACTGCTACTACAAAGTCCCTTGTGACTTCGCTGTCATTTGAATCACGCAAAGGGGGCTGAACTTCAGAGGCCCTTTCAGACTGTCAGGGCTTTTACCTCAAATGCTGTGTGGCGGACAGAATAGAGTCAGCAGCTCTTTCATTCTTGAAGCTGACAGGAAGAGCAATCCCTGTCAGTCTAGCTGGAGCCCCAGGAGTAAGTACTAAATAAGGTCACCGAGGCACCAGGTGTCAGGGTGCAGCATGCCGTGTTCTCACAGCCCTTGAACCAGGGATTCCTAGGCTTAGTTCCTGTGTTTAAGTCAGAGCTACTTTTGATAACGCTGGAATGCCTCTGAGCCAAGTTCACTGATCAGCTACATTACGGAATTTTAAGTAGGCAAGATGGGTGAGAGGCTGTTGACATAAAGTTCTAGCAGCTGAAAAAGACAGATTGGCTGCCCCTTTGCACCATGCATAAGAGGTTGAGGGAAGAAACAGGACATTAGGTTACCAAAGAACTTAAGAATAGGGCAACAATATGCTTCCATCTTTTATTTTGTAAGATACATACGCAGAATGACTTTGGATTGATCACATGAGAAAAATAACATGATAAGTGCTGCAATCTGAACATTTAAAAAGGAAAGTTAAAAGTTGTTACTGTGGTTGCATACATGTGGGTTTTGCACACACATGTATGTAGTACATTATCAATGGCTTCAGGAAGGCAGGAAATTAAAGAAAATCTTCAGTCTGTGATTCGTAGTATGTTAATCATAAAGCACGCCTCTCCTTACTTTCACAAGTGTGGGTACTTCCAAGTTAGGCCTGATTTATGTCGTGGAAAATATTGAGTAGTGAATGGGGGTTATAGGAATTAAAATCATTTGAACCTGCGTCATCTAACAGGGATTGGAGAAAGATCTGTCAGGATCTCTGGAGCGTCACTGTCTTTGGTTCTTTGTTAGGTCCCACTGTACTATGACTCTGTATTCTTTCAGTAATTACCTATTCAGCTTAAGTGAGATAAGGCTAGTTTCTGTTACTTGCAACCAAAGAACTCTGCCTAATTAGGATATCAGTATCAAAGAGTAATTAGGGCACAGTAGTGGCTCAGGAAAGATCCTATATTTGAAGAAACTGAATTAAGTCAGGTGTGGTGGTGCACTCCTGTGATCCTAGCACTCAGGAAGCTGAAGCAGGAGGATTGTTGTAAGATCAAGAAAAGCATTGGCTACAAAGTGAGCCAAAGTCCAGCCTGAACTGCATAGTGAGACTGTATCTCAAAAAAGACACACACACACACACACACACACACACACACACTGAATTAAAGAGTATTTTTCTTGAGACAGGGTCTCACTACGTAGTTCAAGCTGAACTTGAACTTACTATGTAGCCCAGGGTGCCTTGAGCTCATGGAAATTCTCTTGCCTCAGCTTCCTGAAGGCTGGGATTACAGGCATCCCATCACACCTGGCAGAGAGTACTTTCAAAAACCATATACTGTATATCTTTCTATGAGGTTGAGAAGGAAATACAAAGACTTTAGAGGACAGCTATTGCAGATAGGATTTAATAAATATGTCTCTTCCATTCATCCTCTCACTATTATTGCAACAGCATTAGGGATTCTCCCTTCATTCTTGACAGAATAATTAGACTGATAACACGATCACCGAAACCAGGAACATGTGTCATACCAAATGTTCTCAGTACATCAGAAAGCCTGGTGGGAAAATCTAAAATGTGATAAGGGTACTAAAATTTCTGTTTAGAGGATGTGAAGCCTACAACAAAAACGGTAAACAGCTAATCTCCCTTCTGTATTTATCTAGCATGAATATGTAGGGTACTAGGGCAGCAAAATTGTTCTTGAAGTCGTCTGTGCTAACTTTCCATTATTGTAACCCAAATATTATAATCCCTTTTCCATCCTCCTTGCATTCTGGAAAGCTTATATTTGCAACCCCATTGAAACACTATTGGAACCCTAGCAAGTTCGTTCCAATCTACCACCTCCAGTGTAACCGATGGTGAGAATAAAGATGCTAAGATATACTCATAATTATGGGTATCCAAGGGTTCCTGCATCTGATCCAGGTAAGGATTCACAGGATAAAGGCCATACTCCAGTGCCTTGCCCAGAATTTATTAATTTGTGAAGAAGGGAGTGGCTCAAAGATGAGTGACAATGAGAATGGCAGGAATTATGTGAGTAACGTGAGCTGAGCTGGTCAAGTAGCCAGAAAGCACCTCTGCAGTATGCAGAGAGAAGGGTATGCAGAAAGACCAATCTGCATAACTTAATTGCCACAACAGTTAAATGTTTAGGAGGCTGTTCTTCAGTTTCACATATGTAAACTTTTGTGCCCTGGGAAGTCAGAGCCTCTCATCTTGAGGCTCAAACGCAGTTGACATCCCTGGAGCTATGTGGCTCTGCCACCTCATTGTACTCAACCATTTATAGGAGACAGAAGATGAGGAAACAAGAAACTGTTGACTGGTTTCAAAGATTACACATCGGTACTGTCAGGGTTTTCCAGCACAATACAGGAGCAGAATATAAGAAAAAGTAAAAGTGGTCTTTATATTTATAGGATGTGGAGAATAGCCCACAACGAGCAAGGGGGTATGGGATATATGTGACCTTTGATGAGATGCGGTGCTTGTAACCCAAATATTATAATCCCTTTTCCATCCTCCTTGCATTCTGGAAAGCTTATATTTGCAACCCCATTGAAACACTATTGGGCACCACTGATGGCATGCAAGGAGCTGATTGGAATTTTCTTCATGTGCACAGGGAAAGGAAGAAGGAAGTTGTAATCGGGGAAGGAAGAGGAAGTGGCCATCAGGTAAGCATCCCTGATTTGGCCTTCTATCATGTTGAACCACTACCATAATGTCCTGTAATTTATCCTAGAGCACAACTCTTTCATTCCCATCTTTTTATTGTTAGGAAATGTGAAGACTCTCTTACTACTTCCTGCTGAACAGGGGTGCCATGTTGGGATTCAGAAAGGTTGATGGGATGACGATTGATGTCATTGGTGAATTTTCACATCCTAGATTGGAGAAATAAAAAGCCAAGCTACTATGAGGAGGCAGGCCACTATCATATTTAAGGACCCAGGAGAGGTAGAAGGAAAGGTGCCCTTGATCCAATTGTCTTCCCATCTGGGCATGATAAGGTAGAATCTGAAAAATAAGCATGGCATTGGGATAAAGTTATGAAAGGTAATTATTTTTCTGTATGAAAGGGTAAAAGTTAAAAGTGAATTTTAAAAAAAGAATTTTCTTCATGCACATTGGGAAGGAAGGAGGAAGTAATCAGAAAAAAAAAAAGAAGTGGCATCAGAGTAAACATTCCCAATTTGGCCTTCTACCATGCTGAAGCACCGCCATAATGTCCTGTAATTTATTCTAGGGCAAAACTCTTTCAAGTACCTCAGCTAACACTCTTTACATTGCTTAGAGCCAACTGAAAGGAGAAGAAATAGCCAGCTCTGTACATATCAGTACATGGAGATAAGGCTCAGTTTTAAAATGTGGAAGTAACTAATTTATATCCAAGGAGAGCCATTCAAGTTGTCTTCTACATTCCAGCACTAAAACAATATACTTGGACAATCAAGTCCAAGTCCAAGATGAAAGATTTATTTTGGCTCAGTTTTGCAAGTTCTGGGCCTCATTGATATGGACCAGTGGAAAGAAATCACATAATAGCGGAAGCATGTGGTGAAGCAAATTCATCCACTTCCTGGCCAAGAAGTAAATTTAAAAAAAAAAAAAGAAAGAAAGAAAAGGAAGGGACTTGTGTCCAAAAACCCCCTCCATAGAAATATTCCCAATGACCTAAAGACCTCCCACTATGCCACAATGTTGTACCACTACCCAGGGATTTTATCTTGAGGACCAAGATTTTAACACAAAGATCATTGGAGGGCAAACTCCAAAATATAGCATTTCCAAATGCTAAAATGAAAGAAAGTCACAAATTTAAAAATTCTTTCCTCAAAGCCAGTTTGAAACTCTTCTAGGTATGTCCAACCTTCAACTTGCTTTTTTTTCTTTAGTTTCTAAAAAACCCTCAAGTGGAAGCTTTGTTACTTACATATACCATTATATAATGCATTTTATAATGGCCCATAACAATTTCTCCTCAGTCAAAAAACAAGAGCAAAAAAGATGGGCTGAGGCTTAGACATGGCTGCTTTAAACCTCTGCAGTAACTTCAAGAACCTGAGGTCACTGAAAAACAAACAGATTACTGGGCTGCTCAGTGACAATGTAGTTAAATTTACAACCTCACTAAAAGAGTTTCGTCCTTGAATAAGTTACAGGGCATTACGGTGATAGGGCAACATGGTGGAAAGCCAAATCAAGGATGCTTACCCTGATGGCCACTTCCCCTTCTTCATTGATTACGACTCCCTCCTTCCTTTCCCAGAAGAAAATTCCAATCAGCTCCTGTGTCATCAATGCCCACCCCAAGCACCACATCTGGTCAAAGGTCACATATACCCCACACTTCTGTATCCAGGCAGAGGAAAAAGCCAAACCCTTGTTGGTTGTGGGCTCCTCTAGTAAATTGCAAGAATTTAGTAGTTAATGCATGAAAACCTGGAGAATAGTAATGAAAATGGACCATGAAGTTGGGGAGGGACTACTTTTAAACAGTTTGTGTTCTGATGCAGGTGGTGCCACTCATTGAGCCAGCTCAGGAATCAACTGTGTCTCTAACTTGTCTGGCTTTACCAGCAAGTGTAAACCTGCAAAGAATGACTGACCAAGTAAAGTTATATAGAAAGATATCAAATTTCTTTACCTGAAGTTGAAGAAATTCCACCCAGTTGCAGATCTGAATCAGTCATCAGACCTGGAATATTTTGAAAAATAATGATCTTGGATGTCCTGAAGAAGACCCCTTCCATAATCATACTGCTGGTTTTTCCTAAAGGGAATTTGTCGATTTACTTTGGAAAACATGCACTGTAAAAATAACTTCAATTTTGAGGATTATTAGATACTGGCTAGCTGACATTGATTCCTGGAAATCCAAATGTCGGTGTTGTAGTCAGGTGTTACAAGAGCAATTACATACAGGACACATAATTTATAGTATTATTTATAATGGTTGCCCAAGGAGTCAAATACAAAGAAAGTGCACAATACTAAAGACCTAAAAAATCCAATGGCCTAGATCCCATGGCAATAACCTACCTGAGTTCATCTGAAAACCTAGAGCCCACGACAATGATCCATGC